TAGTTCACCATTAACCACAGAACTGTTAACGTATTTGGCCACGCTGTCAACAGTTAAAATAGTTCACCATTAACCACAGAACTGTTAACGTATTTGGCCACGCTGTCAACTGTCAAAACAGTGCACATTCAACATGAGTTGTTAATATATTTGGCCACGGTATCAGACATATAAGTACAAATCTAACATTAGTAAGTAGCATCGGATATGTGTCTTCTAAAACAGAAGTTAAATATTATCTAATTATATTGTATGTATATGTATATACGCTCGCAGAACTTTAGGGATCGAACAAGGTCTGTAATTAATCTAACCAATCACTAAACTAAGAAAGAAAATTACACCCAAGAAGGTTCATACAGGCTAACGGAACACTTTTTTTTAAATTCACAAGCGCATGCGCGTGAGTCATTTTTTCCCGACAGTTGATGAGTCAGTGGGAATGTATAAAAACATTTTTCATTAACAACTGACTTTAGCACAACTTGATACACACACACACACACTTATAATCAAACCCTATTAATATGTTGTTCGCTGCTAAGTAAAGTAAATTGATCTGGATTTTGATTTCTTCTCAAGAAACAACTAAACATATCTTACATATACATAAATAAGTACGTACAAAAAGTGAGGTCGACAACCTGTTCACCATTCGTTTGATATACAAATTGGTAGCAAAATGTTAAATAATGGAATACAGTGCTTGAGATATTACAATACGATACTAACATAATAATTTATTTATTTATTGTTGTTTATATATTATTAGTTATGTGTCGGTTAGAGTAAACACCAAACCCGTAATATTTATGGAAGTTTGTAAATAAAGAAATGCCATCAGAGAAATGTAGAGAAGTCAGATAATTTATTACAGTGGTCAATGAACTATACAAAAAAACGAATAGTTTATCACAGTAGCCAGCTTGCCAGAGAAGTGTACAAAAGACGGATGGTTTACCATAGTAACCGGCATTCCAGTAAAATGTAAATCAAACTTTTCATCACTTTTCATATATATATCCATGTATATATATATATATATATAGCAAAATTAAAATGTCACTAATCCAGGATGTTCATCAAAATTTAAATGTCACTAATCCAGGATGTTCATCAAAATTTAAATGTCACTAATCCAGGATGTGCATCAAAATTAAAATGTCACTATTCCAGGATGTTCATCAAAATTTAAATGTCACTAATCCAGGATGTTCATCAAAATTTAAATGTCACTAATCCAGGATGTTCATCAAAATTTAAATGTCACTAATCCAGGATGTTCATCAAAATTAAAATGTCACTAATCCAGGATGTTC